CAGCCAACTTAGTGTTTAATATTTAGATCTTTGATCCATTTTGATTTCAGTTTAGTGCATGATATGGGTCCAGTTTTAATCTTTCGCAAGCTGAAACCCAGTTTCTCCAGCACCATTTATTAAAGAGGTTATCTTTCCTCCAGTGAGGGTGTTTGGCTCCTTCATCAAAGATGAGGCAGCTGAGTATGTATGGAGTTGTTCCTTTATCTTCTAATCTGTTCCACTGATCCTTGGGTGTTTCTTTGCCAGTAACATGCTGTTTTTAATCACAGTATCTTTATAGTTTTGTTTTGTTTTTTTTTTATTTTGTTTTTGAAACTTGTCTAGTTTTTAAATCATGGTAATTTTTGCTTCCAGGAATGTCTTTTGGAGTACTCCTCCCCTTTTGATTTCATTAAAGAGTTGGATGAGTATTTGCAAGAGTATTAGAGAAGTTCCAATTCTCTGAAGTTCTTGTAGAATTCAGCAGTGGATCCATCAAAACCTGTTTTTCCTTAGTTGGTAGATTTTTTTTCAGTTAGTGCTTCAATTTCACTTCAATCTTCCTAGTGCCGAGGATTTTTATACCTTTTTGCCTCAGTTTTGGTGATTCATCTGCATCTACAAGTGCATTCTCTATTCTCCAATTTATTGGTGTGTAGCTTTGTGCAGTAGCTGATAATCTTCTGGGTTTCAGCAATGAACATTATGATTTTATTATGTTCATTTCTAACTGCACTGATTTGGGTCTTTTGCTTTTGGGTAAGATTGATAAATGATTTTTCATTGATTTCTGCTCTGATCTTTGTAATTTCCTTTCTTGTAGTAGCTTTGGATTTGGATTGTTCCTTTCTAGGACCTTGAGGTGCATGATTAGTTGTTTGAGATCACTTTGTTTTCCTGATATAGGTATTCAGAGGTATAAACTTCCCCTTAGAACTGTTTTCATTGTGTCCCATAAGTTCTGGTATGTTGTATTGGCATTTTCATTTAATTCTAGGATCTTATTTCTGATTTTATCTGACTCATTGAGCATTTGAGAATATAATTTCCATGTGTTTGCATAATTTCTGGGTTTTTTTTTTTTGCCATTGATTTCTAGTTTCACCGTACTATGATCTGCTAATAAGCATGGTATAATTTTGATTCTTTGCACTTAACCATTCTTTATTGGCTAGTATGTGTTCTATTTTGGAGAACGTTCCATATGCTGCTGAGAAGAATGCACATTCTTTTTTTGGGTGGAACACTCAGTGTATCTTTTAAGTCAATTTGTTTGAAGGTTTGTTTCAGTTTTATTATTTGTTAAATTTTTTGTCTAGTTGATCTATTTCTGAGAGTGGAATACTCGGGTCCCAATTGTAATTACACTGATGTTTATGCAACCTCTTATTGTGCAACAGTGTTTATATATAGTGAGTTTGCTTCTTCTGGTCAGTTTTGGTATCAAGTCCACTTTGTCTGATAAGTACTTCTGCATGTTTTTGGGTTCCCACTGTAAGGAATACTGCTTTCCATACTTTGATTTTTATTGAATGAATTTCTTTTTTGTATCAATCGTGTTTGCTGTATACACAGTCCTTTTTAATGTTGTTTCCTTGTCCATTTTCCCAATCTGTATATTGATTATAGAATCGAAGCCATTCACAGTTATTACTGAAAGTTATTCACTTATTCTTAGTATTATATTATTTTTCTGTTGGTAATTTCCTTCCTTTTCCTTTTACTTAACTGTCCATCCTACCTGGTGTATTCATTCTATTGGACACTGTGGCATTGTTAGTTTCATTGTCTCTAGGATAGCTTGGCTAATTTTTTGGAGTGCTAGTTTGATGGTCATGAATTTGTACAAGTGCTATATATTGTAAAAATGTCATATTTCTTCATCAATTTTCAAAGTCAGTTTTCCAAATATATCAGTTTGGGTTGGAAGTTGTTTTATTTTAGAGCTTGAAGCATTTTACTCTAACCTGTCCTGGCATTTAATGTGTTTTGAGGAGTGTGCCATAAATTCCAATGTGTTTTCCCAGACAAGCAATTTGATGCTTTTGTCTAATAGTTTTTATGATTCTGTTCTTGTCTTGAATGTCTAGAAGTTTGAATGTGTGTGTGTCTTCTATCATGGCTAGTTTGGATTCTAGGTGCCTTATCTGTATGTTAAATCCCCTTATCTTCCATATTTGGAAACTTTTGTTATCATTTCTGTAAACAGATTTTCTATGCCCTTCGTGCTATTTTCTGATTTTTCACTAAATTGAATTCAAACTAGAATCGTCTTTTTTTGTGTCACCTGGCAGTTAATGAACCAATTTTTCATGGTTTTTTTTGTTGCTGTTTGTAAGGTATCTGTCATTAACTGGTCACCAACAGTAGCCCAACCTTCTAGTTCTGGCACTTTCTGCTCACACTGGTCACTTCCACTGCTCTTATATAAATAGTTTTTAATCTCCTGAATTTCTGTTTGGGTTCCTTTTTATGGCCTCTAATTCCAGGGATTTATGTTTTGTCATTTTGTTTAGCTCAGCTAGCTTTTTATTAGTGTCTTCTCTACAAAAGACTCACTGATTTGTTTAGTTACATCTTCTTTGTGCTCCTTAAGCATCTTATTGATCTTTTAAAAATCATTTTTATCCTTTCAAATAATCTGATTGTTGGCTTTTAATTTCCTGTCAATGCCTGTAGATCAGCTTTGGGGGAGCTGGGAGTTTTAGGAGGCATTTTGTTGACACGTCTTCTCATATTTTCTTTTATTTATTTATTTATTTATTGATTGATTGATTGATTGATTGATTGTACAGAGGCTTGAGGGTTGATTATATTAGAAGACGGTTGGTAGTATGGAGACCTTTTAGTTAATGTTTGCTTTCCAGTGATTCATTCTGGGTGTGCCTATAAGCCTTTAACTTTGTCCGAGAATTGAACCACTTCTGTTTGGGAGAAGGAAGCAACACTGCATTTGGTCCAGTACCCAGTTCTCAGGTAATGGCCTACAGTATAGATAATGATACAAAGACAATGTTGGCATACAGAGAAAACTAATCAATAGCAACAACTATGTCACCTTGCTATAGTAATAAAATCAGTGACAATATTAGAATCAAAGACAAAATGGACATGGACACACTCTGTGAACCAATAATGTGCCATTTACAACAATAGGAAAGAGATCTATAATTACAGTATAAATACTGGACAAGTCAAAGATTGACCTACAGTATATATCTACTACATGGAACAACTTTACCTCCACTAACAATGGAACAGTTTTCAACAGTAATAGTATCTAGCAATAAGATTTATAAAGCTTAATGTTTGTACTAGTAAAGATATAAGGGGTGGGAAACTGGAGAATGGGAAAAGTAAAATTTGAAATATTAATCAATAGAAGACGAGGAGAGAAGAGAGATATGAGAGCCTATTGAGGAGTAAAAGGAATTTAATAGTATTAGATAACAGTAACAGAAAAAAAGAAATGAAAAAGACCAAAATAAAGGATAATATGAAACAAAAACATAAAAACATAAAAGAAAAAGAAGAGAATAAGCCCCAAGCTCAAAAATGAAAAAAAAAAAAAAAACCCAAAGGAAAATGAAAGAAAAATAAAATGGACTTAACAGAACTTGCTGTTTTTTTTTTTTGAATGAGTAGTTTCTCTTCAGGATTTGTAGCTTTGAAATGCAGCAAGTCATGATTTTCTCCACATAGGGTTATGGCCTGTTGGTTTTGTACCCTCTTTGTCTCAGGTTCCCATCTCCATACACCCCAGACTGTGACAACCATTCAAGCCACGGTATATACTTGCTCATGCTGGCAGATGAGAAAAACAATCAGCCCTCTGGTCTCTGCCAGATGTAGGCTACTTCAAGATGTTGGACTTAATGCTAATACTTTCAGATCCAGCCTCCTCTGAAAGCCACATTTGCTAGGTTTAATTTGTCACTAGAGTAAAGTCTGTTTTCTTCCTGGTTTCAGTTTAGACTTTTTAGGGAGTCTAAATCTAGCCTGCATCCCCTCCCAGGCTGTCATCCACTGTGGGAAGGCAACATCAGAAACACTGGAGTTTATTCTGTGGCCCAATCATAACCCATTCCCACCATGAATCTTGATTAAATACTTTCTGGCAATATAATAGATGTTGGTTTCTTCTCCAACTCTAGCCTTCCATGTAGAAGTCATTTTTGGGTTAAAACCCTATCCTGCTTTCATAGCTTACAGTAGTGGGCTTTTGGAGACATTAGTGCTGCTGGCCAGGTCTGTTATTTCTCCATGAACTGCCGACTCTTTAGGATTTAACTTCTCTTTTGACCACTGTCCTCATTCATGTTAGGCTGGTTGGTTGGTGCCTGTATTCCAAGGTGCAGAAGGGAACAAAACACAGAGAAGGCTCTGAGTTGGTGGGTGGATGCCACCAGTGCATGGAATCCTGGAAACAGAATCAGCCAGAAGTGAACACTGAACAGGGGTGAGTTCCTGTGGCTGTTCATGTTGTATTTTTAATGGGGGTAAAAAGTGGTTCAGATTCATTCCTGCAGGTATAAATCCGCTGAGGAACAGAATGACTAAATAACTCTATCAAATCAAAGTTTGGTTCAATAGGGTTGTATATCCCAAAAATGCATTCCCTGGAACTTTAGTTTCTTCAAATATTTTTCTTCAAACAGGTTTGGAAAATGGTATTCTCTCATTGAAGATTTAAGATTTATAATATATTGCTATCTTTGACTTTTCATAAATCTGTCAAAATAAATCTTTTTAACTATGTTTAACCAATCTTCCAATATTTTATCTCATCAGGGAAGATTTATTTTTAGTAAGTACCCAAGTATATGTAACATCTAAAAAATGCTATGCCAGAGAAAAATTTTTTAAAAAAATCTCTGAGTAATGCTAACTACTATGTTCTGAGTATTCATTATATTGTAGGCACTTTCCATGAGAGCACTTAAACACATATTAATTAGCAAATTATGTGAATAAAGATTAGGGGAACGCCTTAACAGATAACTGAACCAAGGGCATGTTGAGGAAAAGATCATGTCAGAAAAAAGTAAATTTAAAAACATGGGGATCAGTATATGCAATAATGTTTGGAAAATAATAAAAAGAGGGGAAAGGATACAGTCTCTTTGGGACAAAATGTGAGGAGATAGCGTGAAAAATTTCAAGCCAAATCTACACTGGAGAAATATTCCTGAGATAGGCCAATTTAATAATTTAATCCAGAAAACTGATATCATCTGGAATGTCCGTACTTTGGCTTGACTTCACTTCTGCATCTTATGCCATCTGTCCTGATGTTTCCCAGGGGCTCCAGATGGTTCATACACTAAAGGACAAAGAAACACTAATTTCCTCACATGGAACTAAATGGTACCATTGGATTAGATAATCCTTCTTACCCAATGTAAAAGTAAAGGTGACAAAGAATGCCTAAAAGTTAATTTCTATGATGATTTTGTCTGTCCAGTAAATACTACACCCAATTTGTAAAGTGGGTTGGTAATATGTATATTTCACCAGAAGCAGTTCTAATGGATTTATGAATTCCCATTCCAGAAAGGCTGAAATCACACTGCCAGCATCTATTTAGCTGCCATGCATTCATGTGAAAGCCATTCATTGGACCTGGTTCTGGCAATGTTTGCAAGAACAAGCAGCGATTGCTTTCTGACCTCCCCACAACTTATTCAATATATTTTTGCTGATTCAGTGTGAAAAATACCCAAAACTTACCATTCTCTGAGTCCCCGTTTTCACAAACTCAAAAGTTAAAAAAAGTTTGGAGAGAAGTACAAGAGGCAAGTGAAATAACGTTGGTTCACATTTGCATTATCATTGGTTGCTTCTCCCTTTTATGTCTAAGTCTGTCCCAAAATGATTCTATCATTTATTTATAATCTTTAATTCACATTCATGGTTTAGCAAACATTTATTAAGCGATTAGTAATTTATACAAAATTTTATAAATTCTGCCTTTCACCTAAAATTAGAATTAACCCTGTCCACTGACTGAGGAAGTCCATGTTTCACTTTCACATAGTGCTGAAATCTTATTAGATTGGAAGCTAATTATCTCCCCCTTACTCTAAACCAACTTTTCCTTCTTTCCTTCCCTCCATGGCCAACCCACTCAATTTCTGAGCAATTGCTGCTGTATATTCACAGAGCCCACTGGCAACATAATGCAAACATATTGTGGAATGGTGTATCTAAGATACAATGATGATAAAAATGATGGAAAAGTTATGACGTGTGGGTGAAGGCTTTTTCTTTAACCAGTTATAATTTTAAAAATGGAATATAATTGCGATAAAAGAAAAATTCTGAGATGTCCTAAATTTAATTACAAAGACCAAAGGACAGAAAAGAGGACTAGTAGGAGGGGGTGAAGGGAGGGCAGGGACAAGGGGAAAAAATGAGAACGAAGACCACCTGTCATGTAAAGGTTCAAGATCACAATAATGAATGTAACTGTACTGTATACCTAAGATGTACCAATAAACTCAATAAAAGAAAAAAAAAAAGAGGACTAGTAAGGGCACACTGTATCTTCTGGAACCAGTGAGACTCTCCCCCACTCCTGAATGCATGCTGAAATCGTGGCTCAGAATACAGACAGCTGACCACAGATGCCAGTTCAACAAGCTTACAAATTAGCTCCCTGGACCAGTAACCTCAATCAAACCAGAAGCAGTAAGTACTTCTCCTTAAGGACTTTTTTTCTGTTCTGGCCCTCTTATCAACAGTCAATTGTGTTAGCCAATTTTTTTCTCATTGTGTTCAAGAACTTAACTTGTTCCATGATCTTGGAAAAGATGGCCATGTTTGTGTTTGTGTGGGAAAGATGGCCAGTTTTGTTTGCCACCCAATGCAGAGTTTGTAAACAAAAACAGAATTCACCAAATGCTTCTGTTTACAAACCAAACTGATCACAAACAAAAGCATTCATGAACTGAGTTACCACTGTATCTGAGAAAACAGGAGCAAAGATTTATTTGGCTCATGGCTTCAGAAGTTAGAGTCCAGGGTTAGCTGGCTCCATTGCTCTTAGGCTTGTGGCAAAATAGAAACATCATGGCAGAAGGACCTGTGGCAGTGAGGAAGCAGAGAGGAAAGGGCCAAGGACCAGAGGCCAGACCCAAGGTCTTGCTCCCATGATCTGTTCTCTTCAACTAGGACTCTCCTCCCGTTTCCATCCCACTGTTGTCAGTTATGTCATGAAATTATTATCTCATCAGTGGGTTAAGTGACTTGATGATGAACTGACCTCTTAGGCCATCTCTGAACATTATTACATTAGTGATCAGGCTCTGAACACCTGAATCTTTGGGGGGATACTTAATATTTCAACTTTTACATTAATGTAAGTTCAATTTATGCTTTTACCCCTAAATTATTGTTATAAAAATTACCTTGGTTCTTAGGTCCAGCAGACAGATTTCAAACTGCTACCTACCATACTGCTGGCAGTTACAGAACTTGTCCAAGGACTTATTTTACAGGACCACCTGTCTTACAAGTTTTGGTTTTACTTCTGTGAAATAAAAAAAAAAGTATGTATCATCTCCAATTTTTAGTAAATTGAAATATAAAAGTATTATATCATTAGAAGGTTTCATTGTTAAAGTTGCATAACAGAAAAGTATCAGAATATACAGGGTCCCAATTTGTTAATTTTTAACCAAATAGCCATACATGTAGTTGACCTTACCCATAATAACAATGATCAATACTTACATAACGTTAAACATACATAAAATATTTTGACTTTTAAAATTCTTATGGGAAGATGAAATATTTGACTCCTATTCCATTTTTCCCTTTCAAATTTGGAACATTTTTCACAGCGTCATTACAAATTTTTTCATTCAACTTCTTCACCAATTAAAATTTCTATCCTCTCTAGAACTCAGAAATCGTATTATTCAAACCTAAGGTACTTTTAGTAATTTTTTTTCCACCTGAAAGTTGAAAACAAATAAGGCCCCTAAATAACAAAATCAAGGGAAGTTTATCACACAAACCAAATTTGGTCTATGTATCAAAGGAAAAAATGAATTTCACATTTTAGAACTTTCCAATGCAGCTTCCCATGAACACACCTATAAATGATTCTCCTACATAGAAAGGTACACACATACGTTCCTGGAGACCTCAATTCTAGGTTTAAAAGTGATTCTTGGCCCTTCACTGTTGTCTGATATTGGAAATGTATGATTTACAAATATGTATTAAGTCATTTTACCAGAGAGTGAAGACTGTGACAAGTCGATGTGCGAACCCAGAAATTAGACTTAACATCTATTGTGCGCCGATTTTCCAGTTCAGAGGGGCACCACCCTCATATCCAAAGAAATGTGTGCTGCAGTATCCCAAATAGAGGCTTTTGTTCTCCCAACCCTAATTTAACTCCTATGCAGCATGAACTGGTAAACTTTTAGAGTCAAATGTGATCACTGCTTGGCAGAAATCTCCTTTAGAAGCAAAGTTCCTGTTCTTGACTCAAAGTAAGATTTAAAAACTTAATCACTAGAAATACATATAGTTTGTAATATTTGTCCAGCTCATTTACCATCAACCACAAGCACCAAAATCTACAAAAACAAAGATAAAAATGAAAAAAGAGAACAAAGCCACGTGAAAATCTATCTAATAAGAAGAGCATTTTGCAGAAAGTCTGATCTCACCAACTCCCTTCTAGAAGACTGTATCATCTATCAAGCAGATTTCATCTATTTCTCTCCTTTATAATAGATTGTACCTAGAAAAGGGATGAAAATAAAACATACTTAATTAATTGAACACAGATTAGGAAGGATATGAATGTTGAATATGGGAAATTTCCCACTTGCTTTAAAACCAAATATTCAGTTCATTAGACAAGGACTGGGCTTCAATTAGTAAAACATCTTACTAGGTTTAAGTAACTCTCATCTAGAATTATTTAAAATATTAAAGAGTGGTACATTGATTTCATCAAAGGGACTCTGCAGCTCTTAATTCTGAAACTGTTTTTGTTTTAGCTTCCCTTTGTAGTATAAATTATGAAAAGTCTATAGAGTAAGAGTATGGGGACACTTTGAAGTTTATCTTTATAAATTAATAGCAATGGTAAGTCTATTTCAGATGACTTCCATAATTCCACTATCTGTATTGCAGCCTTTAATTTACATTGACTCTTGTATTAGTAACAATACTTCTTTTATCAGTGTTTATCATGTACAAACTTGGTCTCATCTAATATGAACAGCAATGTAAGGAAGATATTATTGTTCCTACTCTACAGATAAAGGAGGCAGAGACTCAAAAAAACTCAGCTATATTCGGTTAGGAGCCAAACCAGGGTATGAACCAAGGCCTTGGGGTCCAGAAGCCTGTGCTCTTCACACATTTGAGAGAAAACTAGTTTCTCTAGTATTAGATACCTATCAGGTAAGATTTACATTATATATAAACACAAGAAAGGCAAACTAGGAAATGAGATATTCATAACTGCATTAAATGAATAACTGTAAAGCAAAAAAAGAAAAATCTTTACAAAAACCTACCGAAGACAAGTAATTCCATACCTACAAATGTGAATGAGTGGGGTGTTACCCAAATATTAACAGCTATCATGTTATGTACAATTTACTTAACTCTAAGATTAAGCAAAGTTGAAGAAGTTACATCCTTTTAAACTATGAAACACTTGTTCTTAAAAGGAAGCAACATCTTTTTAATATATCTGACAGCATATCTATTTTGACAGAAACTATATCTGAAAAGGAATCATAGTCCACTTGTTTTAGTCAGCATTCCATCAATGTGAGATACTGGAGATAATCAGCTTATGAAAATAAACGATTTACTGCAGCTCAAGGTTTCAGAGGTTACAGTTCTGTGGCTCACTCATTCGTGTTGCTTTTGGGCCTGAGTTGAGGGAGTGACATCACAGTGGAACTATGTAGCAGAGGAAACTGCTCACCATAAAGGGAAACACAGAAACCAGGGCAATATCCCCTTCCAAGTCATGCCCCCGGTGACCCAACTCTCACCCATTACACCCCACCTTCTCAAAGTTCTACCCTCTCTCAATAGCACTCCTGAGGGTAGCTACCAAGCCTCTAAACCATGACCTCTGCGGGATATCTAAGACCCCAAGCAAAAACTTTTTCCTTTAAAAATGTACATAACCAATATGTAGCTCATTAAGAATTATATACAACAGATATTATTAAAAAGGACTTAATCACAAGAAGTGGTTGGATGTGCATTTAATTGCACAGATAATCAACTCAGTCCTTTTAAAAAGCCCAGTCTCTTTACTGAATATTTTGTAGAAAAACATACTTTTACACACTTAATTAGGGCAATATATCTTCTAGAAAAGTTGTTTCTTAAAGAATTAGGTTTATATATATACTTGAACAATAATGTACCAATTCACTTTATACTTAGTGAATCAAATTAACTTCCTTTGGGCTCTCCTAGTAAATCATTTTTTAAAAGATATGTAATGGGTAAAGATAAAAATTTAAACATTTCCTTAAATCTTTAAGGATAATCTTGAGACTGACAGGCATATAGTAGTCACAGGAGCAAAGGGTATGTTTGTAAAATGATTTATTTTAAAAATCCAGATATTTAACTTGTAGGTTTATGTTTTTTTCCTTTAAAATAGAATGTAAGGCTTTGTTTTGTGTGTGTGTGTGTGTGTGTGTGTGTGTGTGTGTGTGTGTGTACTGAGTTGCCTTGCTCAAACTTTTCTGGAGCCAATGAACAAACGTATTTCATACTCAGTTGAGAGATTTTATCAGTACATTTAAGGGCAGCAGGGGGCATAATTAGGTATGCCCGCCATCTGTACAGCCCTCCAGGTGCAAGAGGCATTAGCTTTATTTAATATTACCACAACATTCATTTACTCCATTAATTTATGTCATTTGTCCTTTATTTCAAATTGCCAAAACACTGGACAGGGCAATGCTATTCTGACATTAGTAAAATCCTTGTATTATGAACAAATTCTTAAACAATTTGTTGCTAAATATACATTTAAGAACAATAATGAACTGAAAATTTGTTGTATTTTAAGAAAAGGAGTTTTGCAAACCCAATTCTGCTCATGTTGGTATAACGACTTTTCCAGAGAGGGAGCGCATCACATGATTATCACGTCTGTTGGCCCTGGCAAGGCCAAGGCATCAGCAGATACTGGATCGCAGAGGAGAAAATAAATACCTTCTGTTCTTCTCAGCTCAGGAAAGCTCCATCAAGTTGCTGACACCACGATAACATGTGCAATTATTCCCTTCAACCAGAGACCAGGCCTTAAATTATGATTGTTGATAACACTGTCTTAGTAGAGTTTTTGAGCTGCTGCATTTGCCTGTGGTTATTTTGTATTCATTGCAAATAATACTGGTTTTCCACACAAGGTAGTGAGATACAATTTAAGGTCGTTTGTGTTAAAAGTATCTGAAGAAAAATATTTAGTAATATATAGTACAGTTACAAGAACATGGGAAACATCATGAAGGTTGTAACCAAAAGGTAGAAATTCTGGAAAGTTTAGCACAAGTTAATTTGCACCCAACTTTAGAGGAGAAAGACACAACTACACAAAAATACAAATTGACTATTTACAGAAAATATTAAATTTATATTACTCTATGTCTTCTAGAATAATACAAATATGATCACAACTATTTCTTGGTATCTTATTTTGTACATGGTGTTAATAGTTTACATACAGCTATTTACCAGTCAAAGTAAATTTGCAAGTTTCATGGAATGCAGCAAAGTGTTTTAGGTTAAATTTAGAGGAATGAAACTTCAAATGCTCAGTATTTCAAGGTAGACTCAGATTAAAAAAAAAATTTTAGTAAATGAGAAGAAAACAATGTTTACTGAGGATAAACCTTGTTTCTGAACAGACGCACATCAGGAGGAGGAGGGTAGAGGAAGCAAAAAGGCGATGATGCGTTTACAAAAGGTAATTTTCTCACAAAACGATCAATGCCAAGAGAACAAGGTGAAGCTTGTGATGAAGCCAAACTCTGGATGGTGTCATACTTTCAAAACCTTCAAAAAAGATCTTCAGTGGGACCATTTTGAGATTGTTACCACAGGCTTATTTTCTTCTTCACACAATTGTTCTTAGGTTCTACAGTACTTTCAACACTTAACAACTGCCTAGACAAATCGAGTATTTTTTCTTGTGGCTTACACTTGCACGGACAATACAGAATACTTGTATTTGAAAAGAAACGAAGCTGCAAAAATAATATAAAAACATACAAAAATCACTTTAAGAATATCTTTGCCCCTAGTTTTCGTACTGTATTATTCAGAAATACTCTTGGCGCCAACAGGTAATGCATGACAATCCTGCTTTACCAGCAGCTCCCTTTCGAAGGGGACAAAACTAAACGTTCATTCCTAGTAGACAAAGTTGAGGAACACCTCTGCACAAATCACACGTATTCCAGAATGTCTGGCATGGACATGAACACCACACCAGGGCTTACACTTACTGCTGAAAGCAGGTGGTATTTTTGACATCCCTACTCCTTAAAAAAGTATATTTACTCTCGTCTCCCTGCAGGCACCCTTTCAGCTTCTCTGCTCACTCTGAGATAGAAGGGATGGGTGCCCCATCCTAAGGAGACTCAGCACCCTGTGCCTCAGAGCAGGAAAGAACCCCTCTGCTTCCTCATATCCAGCAAGAGCTGCTTTGTCAAGATTTTTAAAATGAAAGCAACCTCCCCCCCGTCTTCACCTTCACGACTCAAACTTTTTCTGTGAACGTCATCACTGTACTCATATGTACATTCTGCTCACTCTTTACGCCTCCTTTCTACCTTTGTTGCTATGAAGCACGCTGAAAAGAAACACTTATTATTGCTATTATCTTTCTGGAGTGTTGAGGAACAACACCAGAAATCTGTGCTACTGTCCGGTTTAATAAAAAAAACAAAACAAAACAAAAAAAAAAAACAGCTCTATTAATCCATTTGGGTTGTATATGTCCTTAACACCAGTCAGTGTTAAAGTTTCTTTAAACTCTGCTCAAGCACCTTTTCCTTCATACTGAAACTCTTACATTTCCAGAAAATAACACAGGAGGCACAAGCCATGCTTCTCCCCATTCCTGATGAATCTACAGCTTTTTCCTTTCAAAGTCTCTCTTACTCCTTCTTTCCTTTCCTTGTCTCTGCTATGTGCTTTGATTTTGTAAATTAATAGCAATTCTCTCTTTTAGCCAGGACAAGGACAGTAACTTACGACACTGTATCAGCTTCCCAGCATTCTGTAACAAAGCCACACAAACTGGTGGCATGAAACAATAGAAATACATCCTCTCCTCGTCCTGGAGGCCAGGAGTTGGAAATGTCAGCATCAAGGCCAAGCTCCCCGCAAAGAAAATTCCTTGCCTCCACAGTTTCCAGCAGCCTGAAGTGCTCAGCATGTTTTTTTTTTTCTTCCCTTGTCACATGGCCTTCACTTAGTCTCCAGGTCTGCACACAGCCTTCTTAAAAGGAAACTCCTAAGCTAGCACAACTTTGACTGTGAAGTCACATTCTGGGACAGGTGGACCTCAGGGATTGAGGCACTATTTAAGCGAGGACAGACACCCATGAAACTGTTTTCTTAGGGGGGTACTCCCATATATTTACTCAAACTTCAATGTGGTCAGTTGACTTTCTCCCATCCAATACTGATACACAGTATTCTCTACCAGTATAAAAACCTTTGACTGTTCAAACTTGCAAATGTGGTTGGTTCAGTTTCCAGGAGCTTACTGTGAAATCATTCCAGCATAAGAGGACTAGGAGGTGAGAGCTTAGAACCTGATGTCTCTGGGACAGTCAAGTGAATTTTGTTACATGAAGCACCTCAATTTACACATTGCCTTAAATACCTCCTAAATTATTGCAATACACATTTTTTCATTCATTCTAACCTACAGTCACAGAATTCTTGTATTCACTATCTTATATTTTAGAATTAAATAGAAGCTTACTGATCAAATAACCTATTATTTGACACCTAAGATGAGTCACAGGGAATGTGTGTTCTCCTTGGTTAATTTGGGACAGAACTAGTAGGACAAATGTTCCCAAATTCTTGGCTCAGTGATCAAATTTGACTTTTTATGTTTTGCCTGTCTTCTCATAATGTCATCTTCCTGTACGAGTCCATGAAGAAGTTAGAAAGTTGTGAAGAAGTCAGAAAATATTGTCAAGGTAAAAAAATGTGAGCTTTTCATGATGCCCAATTGTTTTCTAATTGCATGAATGGATTATATATACATATATATATATATATATA